GTTCAAATTTACAGTTGTCATATAGGTTTCATATGTGTATATGCATATAAATATACATATATCCTTTGTATGTGTTAGTGTGTATACATACACTTTATCTGTTTAGAACAGATTTGTGTTCACAGTGAAACTGAATGGCGGGTACAGAGGTTTCCCTCCTCTTGCTGAGCCCACACCTGCGCTGTCTCTCACTGTGAGCGTCGTCAGCAGAGTGGTCCCAGCCATTGAAGGATAGGCATTCAGTCACCACTGTAAGGCCCAGCCGGTGTGGGTGAGGGGCGGCTCCCTGCCTGGCCAGCAGGGACAGCTCCACCAAGGTCGAAGGGAGCCTGTAACACCCTAGAAGGCACATTTCTTTTGTCCCCCAAAATCCCACCTCCACAGCCCCCTAATAAAAGCAATCCCTCACATCCCCTGGGTGCGTCTTCCCTGGCCTGCTGTCTGTACCAGACCAGCGAGCCTCGCCCAGGAGTGCTCCCAATAAAGCTTCTTTTAAGCTGAGCTCTGTTCTGTGTGGATTTCTGGTTCTGAACATGAATTCCAACCTTACGATCATTCTCGCCCAACATCCACAGTTTGCATCCGGGTTCACTTTTGGTGTTGGGCGTGGTCAAAAGTATCTTGACATACGAATATTCATATGAGTATTTTAACTGCCCTGGGAAATTCCCCTTCCCCCTGGGAACTGCTGATGGTTTTACTGTCTCCGTAGATTTGTCTTCCAGAATGCTGTGCAGTTGGAAACACACACAGCTTTTTCAGATTGGCTTGTTTTACTTCATGGTATGCATTTACGGTTCTCCCAGGTTTTGATGGCTTATTTGTTTTCAGTCCTGAGTAATATTCCATCACCCTATGGCTCCAGCACAGTCTGTCCACTCACCTTGCTAAAGGATACCTTGATTCTTTCCACGTTTTGGCGATTATGAATAAAGCTGCTCTCAACATCTGTGTTCAGGTTTTTGTGTGGACATAAGTTTTCAGTTCTTGTGGGTAAATACCAGGGAGCTTGATTGTCGGATCATATGGTAAAAATGTGTTCCATTTTGTAAGAAACGTCTGTACCGTTTTGCATCCCCGCCAGCCGTGAGCAGGAGTTTGTCTTCAGCCTGTGGTGGAGCTGGCGTCCTGGCTCTTGGCCACCATAGTAGTTGTGCGGCTAACTGAAAGACAAACAGCAACCAAAAAAACACCACACACTTTTCCAGTTGGTTTCTTGGGATCAGGATCCAAATGAAATTCACATGCTGCAGCTGGATCGCCGTCTCCTTGAACCTAGCTCTACTGAAGATGGAGTTTTGAAATGTTGCCATCTAAGTGTTAACGCTAAGTAGCCCATGCTACTGGCTGGGCTTTTTTTTTTTTTGCCTAGGCCTTTTGTGTGGCCAGAATCTGGATTTTGTTGATTATTTTTCCACGGTGCTGTTTTTCATGGAACTCTGTTTCACTGTATTTTCAGTAAATTAGCATTTCGAGTTAGAGACTTGATTAGATTGAGGAACAATTTATTTGATCATATTGTCTCATGGTTGATGGTATGGTCTCCCATGAGGAGCTGTGTAATTCTTTTATTTTTTTCTGTGATGTTAGCAAGACTGTTAAAAAATTATTACAACCCATTAGGGTTTGCAAAATGACAAGGCTCTGTGACTCCTTTTTTTATTTATTTTCTTCCATTGTGAGAAAATTTTCTCATCTAGTCTGTGGTACCATTTTGTGGTATAATTTAAGCTGGCAAGTCAAGGTAAATTATTTGCTAGCTTTCAAACGAATGAATTGGTTTATTTATGTTATCCTCCAGTGGTGACTAATTAATTTTTGTAGTAATGTGAACTCATGAATCTAAACATATTTGATATACCCAATCTCTTGCAGATATTACCATTATTGTCCTATTTTTGGCAGAGTATCTCTTTAAATTTTCCCCTGAGTTCTTTTAAGAATTTCACGCGTTTTGTTTTTATTTGAAAGCCAAAGGGACAGATGGCAACTTTTCTCACCTGTTCACGCCACAAATCTGACAGCAGCCAGGAATTGGCCTGTCTGCAGGCAGAGGACCCACTCCAGCCGGCTCTCCCTTGTGGATGGCAGGGCTCCAAACACTTGAGCCTCCCAGGGGGCGCGTCATCGCGAAGCTGGAGCAGAAGCCGAGTAGAAGGGATTCACACCAAGCCACATGCTCCCCTAAGGGATGCAACTGTCCCAAGCAGCTACTTGACTCCTTGGTCCTTCTGACATGACGAGACACTAGCTGCCTTTGGGAACCTCCTTACTACCTGATATATCAGCAGATTTAGTCTCCTCTTGTACAGCTGCTGACTCACACCTGAGATGCCCCCATCCTTCAAGGAACAGCATTTTAAGAGACCACAATCTGGGTGCTGATGATACTCAATGCTACTGTTTTTTGTTTTTTTTTTTTTTGTTTTTTTTTTCACTAGGCTTTATAAGTGCACACAGCAAGAAAATATAAATTCATACATTTAAAAGCTTTTAAAGATAGAAATATTATTTCTTGTTGATATTTCCAGTGTGAATTCAGGACTCCCTGGCTTTTGTTTTCCTCCTATCTTGAAATTGATTCCTGTTTCTGTCCTGCTGAGCATCCCAGTTCCACAACAGAATTAGGGTGCAGAGTGAACTCATTTATTCTTTTTTTTTTAATTTATTAATTTTTATTGGAAAGGCAGATTTACAGAGAAGAAGAGACACAGAGAAAGATCTTTGTCCATTTATTTACTCCCCAAGTGGCCTCAACGGAGGAGCTGAGCCAATCTGAAGCCAAGAGCCATTAGCTGCTGCTGCTTCTTCTTCTTTTTTTTAATGTATATATTTTTTTAAATTTGAAAGTCAGATGTACAGAGAGGAGGAGAGATAGAAAGGAAGATCTTCCATCTGATGATTCACTCCCCAAGAGGCTGCAAGGGCCAGAGCTGTGCCGATCCAAAGCCAGGAGCCAGGAACCTTCTGGGTCTCCCACACGGTTGCAGGGTCCCAAGGCACTGGGCCTTCCTCTGCTGCTTTCCCAGGTCACAAGCAGGGAGCTAGATGGAAGTGGAGCAGCTGACACAGAAAGTAATGTCCATGGGGGATGTTGGCACTTCAGGCAGATGACTAGCTTGCTGTGTCACTGCACTGGCCCCTATTAATGTTACTTTTAATGATTCAGGGTCTTGTAAGGGCTTAAAATGTTAGATGCCATGGTAGTCCTTTTAACAACGCTTTGTTGAGTACTTTGTGAAAAATCTGTGCTGAGTGCTGGTGAAGAAGGCACATACAGTCCCTGACTCAAGGAGCAGAAAGAGTGCTTCTCACTGAGGGAGGGTTGCAGTGTGATGTGTAGATGCAGAAATATTGGGGGGCGGGGGACCAGGCTTAGCTTGGGTATCTGGGATGGGGCCAGTTAGAGGAGACTGCCTAGGAAGCGCATTTAAGCTGAGATGAAGGAGGCGATGTGTGTCAGGTGCTGCTGGTGGGAGAGTAACGCTCAGTGAACGAGGTAGGGGCGGTCCCACATCTGGGAAAAACGTCCAGGACAGTCGACAGGGCCAGAGGGGGTGGGATAGAGGGGATGAGAGGTGTTTGAATTTGGGTGAAATCTCAGAGCAAGACCGGCAGGTTCTTGGTAGACATTCAATACGTGTGGAGCCAATGAATAAATGAGCTTGGAATTTCAAACATGGGCTAAGAAGTGAGGGTTCTTGGGGCTGGTGTTGTGGCCCAACAGGTCAGGCTACTGCGTGACACGCCGGTACCCCATGTCGGAGTGCTGTTCTGTGTCTAGTTCAGCTCCCCTGTTACTCACGCGGGAGGCCCAGCTGGAGTTCTGAGCTCCTGGCTTTAGCCTGTCCCCACCCCGGCTGTTGGGGACTGAAACAGTGGTTGGAAGAGTTCTTCCACTTTCATTTGTTACTCTGCCTTTCAAACAAATAAGTTTTTTTTAAAGTGTATTTATTTTTATTGGAAAGATAGATCTGTAGAGAGAAGGAGAGACAGAAAGAAAGATCTTTTCACTGGTTCACTCCCCAGATGGCTGCATTGACTGGAGCTGAGCTTATCTGAAGCCAGGAGCCACATCTCCCATGTGGTTTAGGGTCCCAAGGCATCGGGACTGTCCTCCACTGCATTCCCAGGTCATAAGCAGCTTGCTGAATGGAAAGTGGGGCAGCTGGGACACAGATCAACAGCTGGGTGGGATGTAGACATTTAGAGGAGGGGGATCAGCCAGCTGAGCCATCAGGCTGGGCCCTGGCTGCAAGGCATTGGAGAGGTTTAGTAAAGGAATGACGGTGCTGTGGGTGGAAATATATGAACACAAGGTATTAATTGTAGAAAGAAGATTAGTTTGATTTTAGACACAGAGATCTTGGTCTAGTGTCTACCGAGAACTGAGCCACACAGTTCCAGATGCTGTTTGAAATGATGAGACTCAAGCAAGGGAGACAGCAGCTGGAGAGCTGTTCCCTGGGCCCTGCAGTCACAGGAGGGTGAGCGTGGAGTGAGGCTAGAAGCCCTGATCAGAGGGGCAGAACGGGGGATTTCATGAATGCTGTGGTCAACAGCCTCAAATGTGCAGAGGGTCACAAATGACAAATGCCACCACCTTCTACAGTCTTACTGGTGGAGTGGGGGCAGTGAGGAAGGTGTGTATTTTGTACTCACAGGCCCTGGGCTCAGTCCTAGCTTAGCCTTTTACCACTGTTGGGACCTTGTGCAGTAGTTCCGGAATCGGAATGTTCTCTGCCTCTCAGGTTCATGACTGATCACTTGTATTTGCATCTCAGAAGTTATTGTATCTCTCTTTGTCTATCCTTTTCTCTGTACATCTGCCTTTCTAATTTTAGAAATAAAGTTACTGTGAGATTCACATTTCAAAATACAGGTAGACCATTATTTCCTCCCCTCCCAACCTCCCACACACATGTCCAGTGTCTCTAAAGGGACTTCCTTGGGTGTTTGTATGTGTTACTGCGACTTATGGTTTATTCGTGTTTCAACAGAGAGCAGACGAAGAGGCTGTGGTGGACCAGGGCGGCACCAGTACCATTCTTAATATCCACTATGAGAAGGAGGAGTTGGAAGGTGAGTCCTGGGTAGGGGTCAGAGGATGGGGAGGGGAATGGACCCGGGTGGGTCTGCCTGCAGTCCTCGCTCTTCCCCAGGGCAAGGATCGTTTTATCTCTGTTAGCCTCAGTGTCCTCATCTGCCAAATAAAAATGGAGCTATGATACCAGCGCTGCCTGACAGCGCTGTCTTGTTGCCTGGGAGGCAGTGCTGTGAGCAGTGTCACGTCCAGTGTGGACACTCACGAGTAACTCATTCCCTGAGGCTGTGAAGCACCTGACCCTTGACAACTGCCTGGAAGTGTAACTATAGATAGAAAACCACCACTCATTGTAACATCTCAGGTTTGCTGTATAACCATCTTATCCCATGTCCCGTATTAGCTCTTCCTAGCCTGATCTCATCTGAACAAGGGAAGGGATAACAGAAGCCCATCTGTAACATACTCTTTTTATTTTAAAGACTTATTTTATTTTTATTGGAAAGTAAGATATATAAGAGCAAGAGAGAGCGGAAGATCTTCTGTTCTCTGATTCACTTGCCAGTGCCTGCGATGGCCCGTGCTGCACCAATTCAAAGCCAAGAGCCTGGAGCTTCTTCCAGGTCTCCCACGTGTGTGCAGGGTCCCAAGGCTTTGGGCCGTCCTCGACTGCTTTCCCAGGCCACAGGCAGGGAGCTAGATGGGAAGAAGGGACTCTGGGATTAGAACTGGCATCCATATGGGATCCTGGCTTGCAAGGTGAGGATGTTAGCTGTTAGGATACTGCACTGGGCCCATGTGACATAGTCTTTCAAGAACTCACAGTGCAAGGTTCTGTCAAACTCTAGCCAGTAAAAGGGGAGGAAGTAGCACTTTGATTGACAGGCCCTGTCCAGTTTACCCTCTTAAAGACCCTTCCTACTGTCTGCACTCCCCAACCTTCCTGCCTAACCAGAGTTTGGTAGCCTGCTTCCCCATTTCCCAGGGGACCTACTTGGAGCTCTTGCTGTGGCTTCCTGGTTTGATTAGGGAAGGCATGTGTCTAGCCCAGGTGGCCAGAGAAGGCACGTTGGGCCCCAGAGCCTTGCTCAAGTCCCTTGCAGCAGCCCCTGGATGGTTGCTGACCAGGACACAGCAGCACTGTGCTACCTGGGGCTGCGGGCGGGCCTTCTCTGCGCTCTTGCTTATTCCGTGGTGGGTTTGTCATCCAAGCTGCAGGGCCCCCGGGGGGAGGCACTTGGCCTTCAGAAGGGGAGCAGCTGCAGAGCTGACTCAGCTTCCACAGTCGTTACCAGAACTGATGTGGGTGGCTCTGGGAAGGTCACTGGTGTTTGGGTATATCAGGGTTAAGTTTTCCAGAGTATTTTGAACTGATGTGGGGTTCAGCCATGAGGGCAAGTGGGGAAAAGAAAGGATGTGTGCTGATAGGTTCCCATTTATCCAGTGCCCCCGTGCATTCGGTGCTAGAGTAGTCCCCTTTTACAGGCTGCCTTCTTCCTCTTCGTAGCACCGCCACTGAGCAGGTGCCATCACTGTTCTACACGGGGGAGTCTGCACTGGGCTTCTGCTCTGCCCATCCTGCAAGCACTGCTCACGGGGAGGACACCCTCCCGCGCTAACCACCCATCCTTGGGAGTCCTATCTTGTCATGTCAACATCTTAAGTGTCTTCTTAAAGATTAATTCAGTCGTGCTAGTTTTGTGGCATAGTGGCTAAGGCCTGCAGTGCTGGCACTCTGTGTAAGCACCAGTTTCCATCCTGGTTACTCCGTGTCCAGTCCGCCTCCTTGTTAATACCCTGGAAAAGCAGTGGAGGATGGCCCAAGAACTTGAGAGCCCTTGTACCCATGTGGGAGACCCAGATGAAGCTCATGGCTTTCGCCTGGCCCAGTGCTGATCAGTGCAACCATTTGGGAGTGAACCATTTGGGAATAGAAGACCTCTCTGTCTTTTCTTCTGTGTATGTGTATGTAGAACTCTGCCTTTCAAATTCAAAAATAAAATATATATTTTAAAAATTAATTCAAGTAGTTTAAGCATTTATTTTCTTATTTGAAAGGTACAAATAGATATGTAGAAAGAGACAGAGATCTTACTGATCCTTCATGCCCTCAAAGGCAGCAGTAGCTAGGACTGGGCTGGGCTGAAACCAGGAGTTAGAAATTCAGCCCAGGTCTCCCTTGGGGGTGGCAGGGATGTCACTGCTAACTCTTAGGGTGTACATTAGCAGGAAGCTGGGATTGGGAGCAGTGCCAGGACTTGAAGCAAGGCCCTCTGATGTGAAATGCAGGCATCTTAACCACCACCCCAGGGGCTGGTCCCCATGGAAACATTGTAATCTGTTGCTTCAGCCCTTCTTCCTGTCTGGATAATTCTGTGTGTCTGTCTCTCCCCATCATTACGCCTTTAGGGCCCATGTTCTAACCTTCATTTTTGGTTTTTGTCCTCCTGTGAACACCCCCTGGACCTTTGCTCCCAGCAAGGAAGTAACCATTCATGAGCATGCTTGTCTCCTTGGAAGTAGAATAATAAGCCTGGACAGGCGCTTCTGGTTCCCGCAGTCAGGGTTCCATCCGCAGTAGCTCCTGAGTCACTGGCAGCAGGACCAGCTTCTCCTGGTGACACAGTATCTACCTTCCTGGAAGCCAATCAGATGACACCTGCTTCTGGGGACTCTGGCACCAGGGGAACTCAGGACAATTGCTTTAATCAGAGGAATGGCTTTTTCCATTTTTTTTTTTCTGGCAGGTCACTAATAGCTGATTAACAACTTGATTTATGATTCCTGTAGGAAGCTTAATGCCTTCTAATATTTTCTTTTTAAACAAAGGTGAGAGCCAGTTGACCATTTTACAGCTGAAAAAAAGAAAGACTTGCATCTGTTCCACGTGTTAGATTCGCCTTTGTGGTTGTTGACTGACCCAGCCGCTCAGCTCAGAGGAACCTTGTGCCCTTTGGCAGGTTCTAGTGACGTCTGAGTGAGCGCCTGGCGCGTGGTGCCCGGGTACTGCGCTGGGCCTTGGGCACCCAGTCACCATACGCAGGGTGGGGTATGCTGTGATTATTCTCCTGCTTGGTGAGGTTTGGCACGAGTTTACTAATGATTGTTCTCTGTATGGGATAAAATCTTGCCTTCTAAACATATACACCCAAATTATATCTTTCTCATCAGTTTTACTAAATCAGAATACTTTATTTATACAGAGCCCAAAAGACTAGGTTTGACACTCTGACTGCAAAAAGAGTGGGAAATTGTCTGGGAGGAGATGGGGTTGGGTAAGTTAGACGTAGGTGAGACAGCCCGAGCCTGTGACTGGCGAAGTGACCACAGGGTTAAAGGAGTGAGGTCACTGGCCTAGAAATCAGGGTCGGCTTCCTGACAGTTGCTTGGACCTTCTTAGAAGAAAGCATCTTCAGCGGTACCTTCAGAACTGGCAGACGTCTGCAGGATGACTCCAGCTGTGGCTCACTCCTGCCTGGTGGGGATTTAGAAAGCAGAAACACAGCTGCTTCCTTGGCGGCCATTGACTGAACCCCCTCTGTGGTCCCTGTCTACAGCAGGAAGCAAGGACAGTGACAGGATCTGAACCACTCTGTCTCCTCTAAAGACGGGCCTAGCACAAACCTTCCCTAAGGACTCCAACTTTAGAACCTGGACTCGCCCAGTGTCTAGGCACTAGCCCAGGGTGCCTCTTGGTCTGACTTCTTTGCTTAAATCTGGTGATAACAATGAGGCCGTTAACCAATAAGGTGGCATCTAATAAAATGGGTTCAATTAACCCATGCATTGCCTCTCTAAGCTCCCAGCCTTCTTGGCAGTGTGAACCAAAGGAATAGTGGAGGCCGTTGGCTGAGTCTTTATCCTCTGGGGATTTGCAGGGGCGAGGGAGCAGGCTTGGGGGGCTGCATGGAAAGCTGAAGATCCTTCCTCAGGGAGCCATTCAGTAGCCCAGTCTAGCTCAGCCTAGGTGCGGCGAGTGTTACAGCGCCCAGGACACCAAGTGGAGGCCAGTGAGGGTTCTTCTCTAGGATGCAGGTTTCTCGTGGTCCAAGGATCCTGCATGCTCTGTCCTTGCCTTTGTAACCCCTTCCTCCTCATTTCCTTCTCCGCTTTTCCATCCTGCTCTAGCCCTGCTTGCTGTCCGTGTGCCTTGGAACCAACCCTACCTGCACTCACCAAGGGGCCTGTGTGTGTGTGCATGTTCCCTTCCTCTCCCTGGATTCCCCTTCTCGCACGCCCTGCCCTGGTCTCTCCTTCTCAGGTGTCCTTCTAAGCATCTTAGCTCAAGTCTCCATTCTCCAGCCAACCCCTGCCCACATACTCTGACATTATCTTGTTTGATTCACAGCATACACTATTTGATGTGATTTTGTTCTCTGTTTTTTCTGACTAGAAAATGTGTCCTGGGGCCCTTGTGCTGCCCGCTGCTGATCCCCTGCCTTTGGGACAGAACCTGGCACAATTAGTTGCTACTGGGTTGCTGCTGATGCCACCAGAGTTCCTCTCCACAGACATAGATAGTGGGCCATTATTGGCTACTGAATGCTAATGTGGGTCCTTGATTAAGGTGATATTCAGTGTACTCATGCTTGAATTGGATGTACTTTATAGTTCACATGATCATGTCAGAGGTCAGGAATCTTGCATCTTAGCTGGTGACCTCCTCCAGCTCCAAGTTTCTGTTTCTGTCCGTTTGTAAAATGGTTATAGTGTGTTCAGAGATCTGCCTATCATAAACGCCCTGAGATGTGAGCAAGGCAGCCCAGGGCTGCCCTGAGGCAGGACGAGGGTCAGGAGTGTGACTCCATCAAAAACCAGATGGAGTTGGTCCTCCTGTGCCTGTCAGCGCTCCAAGAAATCTCTGATCATCTCCTTTCCTAATGCTGATTCTGTTCTGGAGGGCAGAACACAGCAGCGGGGCTGGGTGGGTAGAGGGGTGGAGAAGCAGGAGTTGAGCCGCACCCAAGGCACTGTGACCCCATTTGGAAGCAGGTGCAGTGTCGGGAAATCCTGTAGCAGGAGAAGGAAGGAGAGGAAGGGGTGACAGTCCCTGCTTGAGGTCTCTTTCTCTGGGCTGGCTTCCTGTGTCAGCCTTCCACCCTCGGCTTGTTCAGAGCCTTCACCTCATACGCCCTGCTCAGAACGCCCTACCCCGCCCTGGGCTCCACATGGGCTCTGTGTTCCTTCTGTGGCTGGTTCAGGTGAGAGGCCCTCTCAGGCCAGCCGGGGTGCTCCTGAGGTGGTTTCTCTCCCAGGAGAAGCCATCTGCTGATTACTGTGGCATGATGGCTGTGTGATCAGACGCTGGGGACCACATGGGAATTCTGAGAGGAGGCCAGGACACAAGGCTTGGCGCTAACTGCCAGTGAGTAGTGGGAGGTAACACAGACAGCCTTTCCTGCAAAGTGGTATATGAGAGATGTGTTTGCCTAGGGCCCTGGGGTTTTAGGCCGAGGAGATAACATATCTGATGACGGAATCAGAAATAATACTGAGAATGAAGATGCATTTGTAGTGAATCTTGGCTGAGTGGGCCAGGTCAGCCTGCAGAAAGCACAGGTACATTGGGGGATGGCAGTGTGGTTCCACCAGAGACATGTGAAGTGATGGTAGGCGTAGCAGCCAAAGCCGTGAGGAAGAGATGGGGTTCAAACCAGACTGATTCATTGTTAGGGTACATGCAGATATACCTGTCTCTAGATTCTCCCCCACTGCCCGATTGTTTATTCTGCACACACATGTGGTGTGTCCACTTTTATCTCTTTTGAGCTGATTACTGAGGTTTTGGGGAAGTCTTTTCACATTGAGGTAAAATTTGTCCTAGACTAGAAAAGAGGCTGAGGACTGAGCAAGCGCGTAGGGTCCTGAACTCATTGGAATGAGCTGTGACTAGCAGTGTTAATGTGGGGCAGAAAGAAAGCCCTGGCTTTGTCAGAGCAGAAGCGAAAGGTGTGACATCCCTACACAGTGAGTGACAAAGGGGTGCAGCTGGAGTCGTAGAGAACTGGGGTTTCATGGTTGGAAAGTTGAGAGAATGGCAATTCCTTGGAGAGAAACATGGAAGAAATGGATCTGAATATGATATGGGATGGAGGATGGTGAGTTGGCTGTGGGACACATTGAATCACTTATCGGTCAGGATTTGGGAGTCTTGTAAAAGCTTTGAATTAGAAGAATGATTAGCAGTTAAAGCAACGACTGGGGATAGAAGCACAGGGAACCTTCATTTTGTGAGCTGTGGAGGGATGGAGAAGCAGCACAGGGAGAAGGAGTTTGAGCCAGGAGGCAGAGTGGGACAGGAGCCAAGGGTGGCCAGATCACCCAACAGGCAGATGTGCTCAGAGATGGTGGCAAGCTTGGGGTGGGCTCTGGGAAGTGAGGTGGGTAGAGGAGGATGAGAGCTGATGGTTAGGGGCTGTCTGGTCCCTAGTGAGGTGGAGTCAGAAGCCACTTGAAGAGGTGGGCATTTGGCCTACTGATTATAATGCTGTTTGGGACTCCTTGGTCCCATGCCTGAGTTTGGTTCCAGTCGCCGCTCTTGACTCCAGCTGCCCACTAACATGCACTCTGGGAGCTGACAGCAGTGTCCTTGGGTCTCTGCTGCCTTGTAGGAGACCTCGGCTGAGTTTTCAGTTCCCGGATTCAGTCTAACTCTGCCCCGCATATTCCAGGCATTTGGGTAGTGAATCAGTGGGTACCACCTGTGTGTGTATTATATGTCTGCCTCACCAATAAAAGTAAGCAAATGAATGTAGAGGATTAGCACAGCTCTGGGAAGTTATCTAAGTCAGGAGAAGCCTATGAAAGGAATGTGTGGAAAGGAAAGACCAAGGGTAGTAGATGCAGCAAGAACTCCAGAGGGGTGGGAGGTGATGGGGCTGGAGCCATGCTTGTGGCCTGGCAAAGAGGAGGCACTGGGGGAGGAGAGCCAGCCAGATGGAGCTGAAGGAAGTTCACCTGAGAGGGCCCAAGTCTTCTCCCTAGAACTGAAAGCAGGCTCACTTATTCGGAGGAAGGGATTATGGGTAAGCTTGTGGATTTGAAGAGTGTGGCTAAAAACTGGGATGGTGTTCTGATGGAAGATGTGGAGAGTGGATCTGAGGCCTTGGGGACAGAAAAGCAGCAGTTGGGTAGAAACGGGGCAAGCCCAAGGCTCTGGTGTTGGGGCCCTGAAGGTACTGATTCTGGGCCTCTGGGTTGGCAGGAAGGCAGGTGCAGCAGGTGGAGGATCCAAGCAAGTAGGCTGATGGAGGGAAGAGGCATTAGGAGAGGAAGAGTGAAGAGTGATACCAGGTCACTTTTGCTTTCTTGTTCTCCTTCACGGCACAGTATGTAATTTTTTTTGGGGGGGGGTTGGTTATTTGGCCTTGTGGATAGGATACCGATTTTCCACATTGGAGTACCTGGGTTCCATATCCTGCTGTGTCTCCTGACTCTGGCTGGCTTCCTGTTAATGCAGACCCTGAGAGGCATCGATGACGGCTCTGGTAATTGTGTTCCTGGCACCCATCTGGATGGCACGCCCAGCTCCTGGCTTTGGCCCTGACCCAGCCCTGCTGTCCTGGGCACTGGGGAGCTGAAACAGCAGAGGGGAGTGTGTGCACGCTGCCTCTCAGATTAATAAAAAGTATTTTTTTGACACTAGCCTCATGTTCCTTTTTAAAAAAGATTCTTTTTATTGAAAAGGCAGATATATAAAGAAAAGAGATACAGAGAAAGATCTTTCATCCACTGGTTCACTCCCCAAGTGACCGTAATGGCTGGAGCTGAGATGATCTGAAGCCAGGAACCAGGAGCTTCTTCTGGGTTTCCCACACAGGTGCAGGGGCTCAAGGCTTTGGGCCGTCCTCGACTGTTTTCCCAGGCCACAAGCAGGGAGCAGGGTAGGATGTGGAGCAGTAAGGATATGAACCAGTGCCCATATGGGATCCTGGCACATGCAAGGCAAGGACTTTAGCCTCTAGGCTATCATGCCAGGCCCATTCCTTATGTTTTATAACTGGTCATTCCCTGTCATTCTAGATTGTATATTCTATAATACAGAAAAGAAAAAGCAAATAACAGTAGCTGATCTTAGAATATGCTTGCCGGCTGCCAAAAATTTCTTCTGGTTATTGTTTTAAGCATTTACATGCAATCATATTTACTGCTTATAAAAACCCTGCAAGTTTAGTTAGTAAACTTTTAGTATGCCTTTACAAAGACAAGTCCCAAGGGTAGGTGTTTGGCCTGCTGGTTAAGATGTTGCTTAAGGTGCGTGCATCTCAGTATTGCAGGATTGGGTTTGAGTCGCAGCTCCACTCCAAGGTGTTGGGTTAGGGTTGAGGTTAGGGTTGAGGTTAGGGTTAGGGTTGAGGTGCCAAGCGGTGGCTGGGGCACTTTGGTTCCTGCCATCATCATTGCCTCTCAGGTCTGCACTAGTGGGAAGCTAGATTGAGTTTCTGGTTCCTGGTTCTGTACCTGGGTCAACTCTGGGCGTTTGGGGAGCAAACCAGCAGATCGGGACACACACTCTTTCTGCCCTTCCTCCCGTATCCTGTCTTCCTCTCAGGTTTTTGTTCTGTTGTTGTTTTTAGAATTGAAAAATGGAAAAACTAGATGATCTCAAGAGCATGCAATTAATAAGAAGCCTGGGACCCAGGCAGACTGATTTAAACTTGAAGTGTTCTTACTCAGTTTTCTAATCTGACATTCTGCTAACACTGAGGACAAGTATCACAGAGCAATGGCATGGCCTTTTTAAAAAACCACTCAGCCACTGTGTCCTCGCAGTGCAACCGTGAAGAGAGTAAGACTTCTGTAGCCTGAAGATCACTTTTGTGCACATTATGCCAATCCCTATGAGGTTTGCTCCTGCACGCAAGGGACGAGAACTTCAGTCTGGGACCTGTATGCCTTTAGTTCCAGAAGTCTTTGAAGTTCCGTCATTGTGCACCTGTGATCAGGCTGAAGCGCTCTTGTCTTTTTCCCCGTTAACGGTGTGATGCTCCTTGGCCTGAAAGAGCCTCTCCATGGACCTTCTGTTCCTTTCCAGGTCACAGGACCCTGTATGTGGGCGTTCGGATGCCCCTGGGTCGGCAGAGCCATCGGCACCACCGCACCCACGGGCAGAAGCACCGGAGACGAGCGCGGGGCAAAGGAGCCAGCCAGGGGGAGGAAGGCCTGGAAGCCCTGGCCCACGGTAACCCCCTTGCTGGAGAGGGCAGGTGTCTGTGCCTGGGAGCTTGGGGATGCAGAAGGAGAGTGGGGTGCACTCCTGTGGTAGGGTCTTCAGAGCTTCTCTCTGGGAACAAGAAGAAATGCTGTTGATGAAAACTTAGCAGCTCTTGCCCACCCAAGTCAGTACCATGGCCAGTGAAATCATTTGCCAGAGAATTAGCCATTCTTTTTCTTTAGACTTGTTTCCTGTTTGTTGCAGGTTTTCTTTCAGGTATGTGTTAGTTATTTGATCTCTATTGTGAAATGTCCAAAGCAAGCTAATTTACAAAAGGAAAGGGTTTATTTGCTTCACGGTTGTGAAGGTCCAAGCCCAGAATCGAGCAGCCCCACTGATTTGGCCTCTTGGGAGGACAGCAGCTCGCAGTGGTGGAGCACACGCAGAAGGCTCGTGCAGCAAGTCGGGAGCAAGCAGAGAGACTGCTCCAACTAGGGCTTTTGTAGCAGCTGTTTCGTGGGAAGTCCAAGGGCAGGGACCGGCAGCCTAAGGGACCTCCCACTCGGCCCCGCCTCCTGACACCCTCCCTGGGTTAGGCTCCCACCCTCGCTTGTGGCTTTGAAGTTGAAAGAGCTCAGGCGGTGAGAAGCCAAACCACAGTCCACCATACAAAGTGGACTTAGCTCATTAACTTTTCCTCCCTTGAGACTGCTTCCACAGAATAGCTTTTTCTCCGAGAATAAAGAAATCTTTTTGATCTACACTCAGGATTTCTTTTATACAGCCCTGAAGTGAGTTGGCAGGTAGGAAACTGTGTTTCAAGTCCAAGGCTAGACACGGACCTTCCCCTGCTTGATTTCCTAGACACACCATCGCAGCGTGTTCAGTTCATTCTTGGCACCGAGGAAGATGAAGAGCATGTGCCTCACGAGCTGTTCACAGAACTGGATGAGATCTGCCTGAAGGAAGGAGAAGATGCCGAGTGGAAGGAGACTGCCAGGTAAAAGAACCGTTAGAAGTGGCCCGGCTGCAGAGCTGCTGGGGAGGGCACGGGTGTGTCTGTCGGCAAGGGACACACCCGCCGGCCTCGTGTTCTTGGGAGAAGCACAGGACTGATGCTGAAGACTCCCCTGATGGAATCTTGGTATTGATTCCATAGCCAAGGTCAACAGTGCCATGTTCAGGGTCAGTGCCATGTTACTGGTCTGCCTTGGAGACAAACAAAGCTAAATTGATTGGAGCCTAGTCTTGAAAAGGTCCACGCAGGTGTACCTTAGGACCATTTGAGTTTAATTCACTGACAGCTGCAGAAGCCTTGAGATTTTAACTTCTCTTGGACAGTGCAACACGACAGAGACTCTTGGATTTATGCTAAACTCCCTGGGGTCACTGTGTGGTAACTATACTTACCTGAGATTCAAATCCCAGAAGGGCCTCAGTGTTAACCAGAGCTATGTCCCAGCTCCTGTAGGGACTGACCAGCGAGCCTTACAAATGCTTCAAAGCCAGAACCTTGGGGATGGAGGCAATATGGGCAACTGTCAGAGCAGACTTCCAGTTGGTACGGACACGGGTCTTCCTGGATGCCCGCTGCCTGATTGATGTTTTGTAAGGGTTTGTTTGAACACAGAGGATTAAACAGGGCAGCTGCTTACTACCTGACGCCCCACTAAAACGCAATTGGTCTTTTGTCATTTGGTCTTTGCAAACTTCTGCAGGTCACACAGGTGTTGATAAAAAGAAAAATATTATCCTTTTATTACTGTGATTTGTCAGTGTGTCCTACTGATAATATCTATCTTTGATGATATATATAGTTTGATTATCTATAGAAAGTCCGAAAATAAGTGAAAAGAAAGTGAAAGTTACCTGTAATTCCACTACCCCATGGATAATGAGTGTAATATTTGGGGTCTTATGCGTATAGAAGCCAAGAGAAGAGACTTTTGGCCTTTTAGTATCAGACCCTGCAGAGGTCAGATGACACGAGCAATGGCAGCTCCCGTGGGGTGATCCGCTGCAAACCCAGTGAAGATTTTGTCAGAAGCACTCCCATTGGGGTAGCCAAGTTGCATGAGGGCTAAGACATTTTTCTTTCACAAATTTTTGTCTGAAAGTAGAAGAGAAGAAATAGGTACTGGGAGATTCTCAGATGGCCATGCTTTTCAAATTTTCTTTAAATGAAACTGGAATTGGGGCATGCGTTTGGCGCAGTGGTTAAGCTGCCTCTTGGGATGCTGGTGTCACATATTGGAGTACCTGGGCTTCAGTTTAGGCTCTGTTCTCAATCCCAGGTTCCCGCTAATGCGCACGCGGGGAGGCAGCGGGTAAAGGCTCTAGGCCCTGGATCCCATCATGGGAGACCAGAACGGAGTTCTAGACTCCCGATGTTGTGGGCATTTGGGGAGTGAACCAGTAGACTGTAGATCTCTGTCTTTGTGCACCTACCTACCTTTTAAATAAAGAATAAATAAATAAAATTTTTAAATGTCATTTTAAAAATAAACAAAAAATGGAATTAAACTGTACTGTCTTGCAGTGTTCTGAAACTCTCTTTTTTCACTTTCCAACGTCCATTGAATATACACATTACATTTTATGATGTTCAGTGCGGCTGTTCAGCTGTTTTTCTCAGCAGTGTATTTTCAAAATGTCTGCTGAAAGTTCCTGTCTACCTTTAGCATCCAGTTATTTGTAATGCTTTCAGGTGGCTGAAGTTTGAAGAAGATGTTGAGGATGGGGGAGAACGCTGGAGCAAGCCTTATGTGGCAACCCTGTCATTGCACAGCCTCTTTGAGCTAAGGAGCTGCCTTATTAACGGAACTGTCCTTCTGGATATGCGTGCAAACAGCATAGAAGAAATTTCAGGTAAGGTTAGGTGACGGAAAAGAGGAACTTCTGGGCAAATTAGAGGAAAGAAGGAAGTGCTTGTGTGTCCTCGGGCGAGTCACAGCCTTTCCTCACCTTCCAGCGAAGCCCCGCCTCACCTGTTTCACTGGCTTATTATGGACGACAAGGGACATGCCCTTAGATTCCCTTTTGTCTGCTGATTTAGTAAACAGTTGGTGACTACTATGCGCTTGATACTGTGCTAGGCACAGGGAGCAGAGGAGCGGATCTTCAAAAAGTGGAGAATGTGTTAGAAGCAGTGTATAAGGTTTCAAAACAGCTTTTTGCCTCAGAATAAACTGATTTTTAAATTTGTTTCACCGGCAACTTTTTGCAGTCCCCTTGTAGGGATGGGACCGTTGCTGCCTTCAGGGAGCTCTACCTGCTGCTGGGGAAGTGGGCCTACCTGCTGCTGGGGAAGTGGGCCTACCTGCTGCCGGGGAAGTGGGCCTGCCTGCTGCCGGGGAAGTGGGCCTGCCTGCTGCCGGGGAAGTGGGTCTGAGAACAGCAGTGAGAGCAAGTGCAGCAGAGATGTGCTGGGCGATGGTTAGAGAAAGGAGTAGGTGGCAGTTTTTGCAAAGAGGAGAGTCAAGGAGAATGAAGATCTTTTAATAAATTAATTTTTAAATATCATTTTATGACACAGTTTCATAGGTTCTGGGATTCTTCCATCCCCTCCCCAAGTCCTCTCCCCATATTGAATTCCTCCATATTGTTACAGTAGTACAGTTCATATCCAGTCATGATTCCTTCATTGCGGGCATGGACCATGCAGAGAGTCCAGCATCTTATTGTCCAGATAAATTCAACAGTTTCATTGGGAGACCATCCTTGGTCTGAAAGTAGAGCTGGCAGAATATCATCTCCTCCAATGAGATGTCACTACACAACTTCAACAACAGGAAGAAACATTGAAATTAACAACATCATGAAGTTAATTAACATGGTATTGAGTGACCAATATGTTAGAAAATGCAAGTTCTTAACCACATCCTGTAACTACTTCCTTGGCATCTCAATTTTAGTATATACACAACCAGCTGCTATAAACCTTTTTTTTTTTTTTCCATCTCCCAAGCTAACATGTTTTTGAGTTTAACCTAAATCAGAGTGGCACAGGAACAGTGGAAGGATCAACATTAACATCATATATATAACAGCTGAGTACAAACTTAACATCAAAGTTTCTATGCAGTTACATCTTGTTTAGCATTAACAGTCATAAATTGATAAAGTTTTTTGGGGAGAAAATTAAGCCACAATTTAAACTTTGCAGTATATAGTGATTAAGCATGGTTTTACAGAACTTTGCATTTTAACAATTGAAGAATAGAAAAGTTTTAGGCAGGTGAGCAGGGAAAGCTCCAACAACCCAGTGAGTGAGGAAGAATTAAAGATCTTAAAGGCAGATGGGCCTGGATAGAGCCATAGTGCTCACCTGGCTTCAGCATGACGTTCAAGGCAAAAGTGTGTTGTGATGTGAGGGACTGTTGAAGGATTGTGTTTTAGGAACAGGGTTGGAGCAACACTTGTGTAGCACATGGGAACTTCTCCTTTCACTTGGCTGTTCAGCTGGGCAGGTTACAGATATTTCCATTTCAAGTATTGAAGCTATTCTGCCTCTCCAGGGGCACACAAACACCCAGGGGAGGAGTCAGCTGATGGGATCCTGTGTCCCCTCCTTTTCAAGATTTCCAAAGTCCCACTGATTGCCTGGGAGAGGCAGAACTCACGGGGATCATAGCCATAGTTTGGTAACTTTTTTTGTGTGGCTGAAGGAAAGATCCTTGTGTTAGGTAGAAGCCCTGGGAGATTTGCTTTTCTTCTTCTTTTTTTAAAAATTTATTTTTGAAAGGCAGAGTTAGAGAAAGAGAGAACTACCACCTGGCAGTTTACTTCCTAGATGCTCACAATGGCTAATGCTGGCCCAGGCTAAAGCCAGGAACCAGGAGCTTCATCCAGGTCTCCCACATGGGTGGCAGGGGTCCAAACACTTGGACCATCCTCTGTTGTCCTTTCCTGGCCATTAGCAGGATGCTGGATCAGAAGTGGAACAGCTGGGACACAACCAGCACCCGCATAGGATCTGGCATCACAGGCAGTGGCTTTACCCACCACGCCACAGTACCCAGCCCCTAGCTTTTCTTTATAAAAATACTCACCAAAACTTTAAAAATTTTGATCTTAATATTGTTTATAAAGTTGGAAGGGATACATGCTCATGTGGGCCTCCAATTAGGGTGGAGAGGATCAAGGTATGGAGGAAGGTGAGTGAGACAAATGTTCTTCTCTTTTTTATTCTCCTGACCTTCTGGGGGAAGGAAGGAGAAGGGGCCACTCTTTGCTGTCAGACTACATCAACACCTGGGGATGGGTAACAGTCATTTGATGATGCCTTAGAATGTTCTGAGGGTGTTCCTTGAATAGTTATGATAGTTCTGAGATATTGTTGGCTTTAGTGCACCACGGTTGAGGAAAGTCTTTCTCAAGTCTATTGGCGGACCAAGTCCACCTCAGTGTACATCTGTAGACCCAGATACTTGCTGCAAAGCTTGGCCAAGAGAGTTGTCCAACCTGTTCTGCTTTCCATCCTCTGAAGAGGCACTTGATGTCCTCTGCTGGCCTAGATGAGCTGGCCATCATGTCCCCCTTGTGCATCTAGTGATGCACCAGCAATCAAGGAGGCCTAGTTCCAATACATGCACTCCAAGGTTGGACCACATAGCTTGTGACTTTCCCTATGGCTGAAATTTGAATCCAGTGATCTAGTTGGGGAGTCCCTCAAGAAATACTGCCTATGGTGACTTTAGACTTGACTCTTGTGTGTGCACCAGCTAGTTCAGAGTCAGGTCCACTCCGTCTCCTGCACCAGCCAACGCACATACTGGTGATGCTGCTGCCTCGTTAGTTCCTCCCCAGCCCCATCTCTCATGTGAACTGACAGGTGCTATGACCTAGCCCAGCCTAGCCTGCCATAGGCCTGGTCTTCACACACATTAGCAAATGCCATGACCTAGTTGGGGTGACCTCCAATAACTCCCACTAGACCTGCCCCCAATCTTGGTTTTTGCTTGTACCAGATCTAGCCTGGTCTGTCCCACGTCCCATCTGGCTCTCTTGCTCACCCGTGAATGCTGTAGGTTAGTTCAGCCTGCCCCAACCCCAGATCCGGTCCACATATATGCTGATGGGTACTGCTGCCTTGACCAGCCTGGCCTGCCCCCAGCCCTGGCTCTCATGCTCACCAGCGGGACCTGTAGTGCAGCAAAGTAGTACCCACAGTTCCCTTACCAGCTCCCCTTCCAGCCCCGGATCTTATGTCTGCCATGGGGTAGTGAGGTCCAGCCTGACGTGACAGGCATCTAGTCCTGGCACTTGCCGTTGTGTGCTGCTGCCCAGTTTGAGATGGCCTACCCCATTCCCAAATGGTTACAACAGTCAGGACTCTGAGCTGGGCTAAAGTCACGTGTTAGGAACTCTACCCAAGTCTCCCATTACGTGGCAGGAATTCAAGTACTTGAGTCATCCTCTGCTGCTTCCAGGGTGCATTAATAGAAAACTAGATTGGGAAGCTCAGCAGCAGCTAGATTGGGACATAAACTGGCAGTCCAGTATGGGCAGCATTCCAAGCAAGGGCTTACCCACTGCATCACAACACCTGTTCTCCACTGCCCCTGCAGCCTTTGAAACTGTTTATACTTATGTAAACAACAGGGAGCCACTGGTGAGTTGATGACAACTAAATTTGGCATGTTAGAACTAGAATGATGATCGCAAATACAGAGGGTGGGTGAGTTGGAGGGGAAGTGGGCTGTGACAGTTGACTATACCATCAGCGGCTGTTGACTGTAGCAGGTAGGAAGGAGCGGAGACAGATCCCAGTGAGATTGAGGAAGTAGAATTGTTGAGAATAGTCTGGCAAATGTTTGGGGAAAATAAAAGGAAAAGAGTCAGGGATTCCAAGTTTGGTTTTGTATGTGCTAAATTCTAAGGGTCTGCGGACATCTCGATGGAAATCTGTTGGGTAGTTGGAGCCAGCACTTAGAAGACTGTAGGTAGCTGATACTTACAGTCTTGAAATAGTTGATATTATGAAGGGAGAAAGATCAGAAGGCTGTGACAGAAAAGGGGAACTGCGAAGTTTCAGGGTGGCTTTGGGGGGCTTGTGGTTAGGTTGGAAGAAGTAAGAGTGCCAAGGACATGGAGAAGGAGTGCTCATAGGGGTTGGAGGACAATCAAGGAATGGTCATATAATCTGAATTGCTTCCGATGACTTCCCATAAACTTGGCGATTTAAAACAACAGCTTTTTTTTTTTTCACTCGTACAGTTCTGGAAAGTCAGAAGTTCAAAATCAAGTTATTGGCAGGACCTTATCCTCTCTGCAAACTCCAGAGAGAATTAACCCTTGTTGGGTTCAGCTTCTAGCTTCTGGTGGCCTCAGAGCTTCTTGGTTTGTGACTGTATATCTCTAATGCCTGCCTCTGTCCGCACATGTGTTTCTTCCAAGTCTCTCCCCTGGGCATCTTCTTAAAGGATATTTGCCATTGGATTTAAGACTTACCCTGATAATTGAGATGCTTGATTTAATCACATCTGCAAAGACTCCCTTTTTACAAATAAAATCACATTCACAGGTTCTGGGGTGGACATTAGGATGTAGACATACCTGCCGGAGGCCACCATTGGGCCAGCTCTAAAAGCCGAGAGAAGAGATTTCGATCTACCAGAGTCAAAAGCTCATAGAGGTCAGGTGAGAGGAACACTGGAAGCTCCATTGGATTTAGCAACAGGAAGGTTAGTGATGGGTTTATCACAAGAAGCCCCGCTGCCATAGTCAAATTGCAAAGAGCTAAGGATTTTTTGTGTGTGTGTGTGAACTTTTAGATGGTAGGAGAAAGAAAAGGAAGATCTGGGGTGCTGGTTCATTTGTTTCCTCAAGACGGAGGATCCTGAAACACTGTCATAATGTGGAAGGAAGGAACCAATCAGTAAAATGGTTAAAGAAACCTAATTGAAGTAGATTTTCCTCGATCATTGATTCTAGTACTTGGATAGTCATGGGAGGGGTGAAGTTAGAAATTGAGAATAGGCAGAAGTTTGGGGAGAAGTGTACAGGATTGAAGTGGAAGTTTAGTTCTCACATCAGATTCCTAGCGTTTTCCCACAATGTTAGTGATGAGGAGAACTAACCTGTGTCATCAGCTCATCTAATTTTCCATAGCAGTCTTCCAAAATGGGATGATAATATTGGCACTCCACATTACAGATGAGGAAACTGAGTCTCGGAAAGATTATGTAACTTGCCCAAGGTTGCATAGCTAAGAAAAATTGTAGGACTGGGGTGGAATGTGTGCCTTTAGCTAGCTGCCTGTCAACACCAGGCACTGGGGTTTCCCCCTCTCCATTCTGTGGGACATGACAAGTTTCTTGAGAGCTTGTTTGGAGGTTCTAACAGGGCAATGCAGCTACGCGTATACCCTTGACCGAAAACTGGTCCTGCTCTAGCGGGATGGTCATCCTCTTCAAACGAGCATGCAGCTTTAGGAGGGACGCACATGGAGCAGTGAGGGAGGAAGGGGACACCCCCGTAGCCAACCAGATCGGCCGAATCAGCCCTGGCGATCAGTGGGGTGACAGATATTGTAGCCAGATCGCCATCACATCCAGGAAATGAGTTTCTTAACCAGAGTCTCAATGGCCAGGCTAAAATCCTGCCCCTGTCATTCCTCCTGACAGTCACACCAACGTTAAAATCTTGGGGGAAGGGCCTGTAGGGGGCTTTTGGGAGATGATAGAACTAAGCAGGTAATATTGAAAACTTTCAGCTTAGTCCTGGGTTTGAATCCCAGCTCTATAGCCTATTAGATATGAGACCTTGGAGGAATTTTGTAGGGTTTCAACCCTCATTTCCTCATCTGTAAAAGTTGCTTTAATAATATCTACTTCTCAGTGCTGTCAGGATTAGACTAGATAATATATGTATTTTAGTTTCTGGTGTATATTAAGTGCTCAGTAGTTTTAATTCATAATAATAATAATAATGATTTATTACATGAACAAAGTGTAACTTTTCACAGCCATGGTCTCAGGCAGCTGTTTCAGACCCTGGGGCTGAAATCATGCCTCCCCCTGCCTCGCCTCTTGCCCAGGCCCAACCCCATGTTGGCCTCCGAGGACTCACCAATCCTCAGGCTGCATGTTCATGTGAGTGCCTGCTTTGCAGACCTGATCCTGGACCAGCAGGAACTGTCCAGTGACCTGAATGACAGCATGAGGGTGAAGGTGCGGGAAGCCCTTCTCAAAAAGCATCATCATCAGAACGAGAAGAAGAGGAACAATCTCATCCCCATTGTCCGTTCCTTTGCCGAGGTCGGCAAGAAGCAGTCCGACCCACACTTGATGGATAAACACGGTAGGGTGACTGGGAGGGATTGTTCTCTGTATTAATGTAACATTCGGGCACTAGTAGGAGGTGCTGAGTCATGGGGAAGTGGGGGCTGTATCTGTCTAGTATGTTTCTACATCACCTTAGACACCTAGGATGTTTGGTAAGATGACTGGCTGGCACCGGTGCACATCTCTTGCAGTGCTGCATTTCTGTGGACCTGACACATGAGATTTGTCCCCCCCTCCCTCAAACGATGTGCCCTTTGGGAGATATTCAGGGTCAGGATAAGTTGGGCCAGAGAAGGTGATTCTAGGAGGGGGAGGTAAAATCTTATTGTGTGAGCCCTTGAGTCACTCATGAGCTTGTCGTCATGGCTTTACCACCTTGAAAAGTGTGACGTCAGGTGGCCTACCAAACCTCTTTATCACCTGTGATATAGGGGTAACTAAAGGACCTACTCCCCAAGTTTATTGTGAGGCTTCCGTGAGTGAAGCCATGTTAAGGCCATAGTGCAGCATGGCAGGTAGACACTCCATGAAGCTTGGCTGTTGTTGTTGGCTCCATTTCAGGGAGGGGCCAGCCAGGCTCTCCTCTCTGTTCATCCACCGGCCTCCACATCTGCTGCATCCCTGGGCAGGGGCATGCCCAGGTGTCCACAGGGTGGGACATGCCCAGGTGTCGGCAGAGTGGGGCATATCCAGGTGTCCGCAGAGTGGGACACGCCCAGTGTCCGCAGAGTGGGATAGCCCCAGGTGTTCACAGAGTGGGACATGCCCATGTGTCCACAGAGTGGGACACGCCCAGTGTCTGCAGAGTGGGACACACCCATGTGTCTGCAGAGTGGGACATACCTGGGTGCCCACAGAGTGGGACATGCCCAGGTGCATGGGGGTCTCTGCTCCATCCTTCAGGTTCAGGCTTGCGGCTTTGCCGGAGACCCGAAAGAGGCTTGCGAATGTGCTCAGGAAGAAGAGACACAGTGGCAGGACCCTTAGCACCGAGTGTTAGGCAGGAAGCCAGGGAGGAGCAGAGCTGGCTTCCTGGCCGCCAGTTCTCCGTGTGGACTGTGGGAGCAGACGTGGCTAGGTGATGGTGGATCAGGTGTGGAGGGGAAGGCAGTGACTCTGGGGTCTGTTTGATTTTTTTTTTTTTCCAAATAGGTCAAACTGTGTCTCCCCAGCCTGTCCCGACTACACATCTTGAAGTAAAAAATGGAGTGAATTGTGAACACAGTCCTGTGGATTTAAGCAAGGTGAGCAGAGACATGGGTGGTAGACATTGAGGCTTCCATTTCTCTCCAGTGAACTCGGGTCCAGTTGCTGGAATCTGGCTTAGCTTTAGTGTTGAGAGGCTCACATCACAGAGAGAGCAGATGTGGCCCATCTGCCTCTGCACATGCCAGCGTCCTGGGCAGGGCTGACTCCCCACGCTGCAAACACACGCCAGCCCCTGACCTCCTGGTCTCCTGCAGTTCCTCCCACCTACATGGATTTTGCCAATACAGTATTTCGGCTGCTGTCTTCCCGGCTGCCTGTTGGTTGAAACCTGTGGACTCTGAGGCCCAGGCCATCATAGAAGCTTGCAGAGGCTTCTGCTCCCAAGCCCCTCCTCACTCCAGTGCCCATTCAATGCTGTCTCTCTTGCCTTTTTTTAAAGTTTTATTTTATTTGAAAGGCACATTTACAGAGGTAGAGAAACAGAGAGAGAGAGAGAGAGATTCACTTCCCCAGAAAGCCACAGTAGCTGATGTTGGGCCATGTGGAAGCCAGGAGTCCAGAGCTACTTCTGTGTTTTTCATGTAGGTGCCATCTTCTTGGGTCATCCTTTGTTGCTTTCTCAGGCCCCCTAGTAGAGAGCTGGATCAGAAATGGAACAGCCAGGACTTGAGCCAGCATCTGGATAGCTAGCGTCACAGGTGGTGGCTTCACGTGCCATGCTACTACACTGGCCCCCAGTGCTGTCCTTTGGAAACACTGTAGTGTCGTGCCTCTTCCTCTGCTCAGAGAGCTCCACGATCGATTTAGAAAACCTGAAACCACTGACAGAGCATGTGAGTATTTAAAAGGGAAAGACTGGGACGCAGCGCTTCAAAAGCATCTGTTTGGGAGGAAGCGGGGGGCAACGGAGGCAAACCAGAATATCTGGATTTTAATTCTCTCTCTCTATATATATATATATAAAGATTTATATATGTACTCTACAAGACAGAACAGTATTGGGAGAGGCAGTATATGACCTTCTGTCCACTGATTCATTCCTCAGATAGTTGCAACAGCCATAGCCAAGAGCCTGGAACTCCATCTTGGCCTCCACATGGCTGGCAGGGGCCCAGGTACTCAGGCTGTTATCCTCTGCTTCTCCAGGGATGTTGGCAGGAAGTGAGATTGAAAATGGAGCAGCTAGAATGGGAGGCTTGAACCTGCACTGTGATATGGGATGTGACATTGTAGGCAGGGGCTTAAACCCAGAAAGTCCCAGAGCTGACAAGACCCAGCTGCTCCACTTCCGATCCAGCTCCCTGCTAATGTGCCTGGGAAAGCAGGGGAAGATGGTCCAAAGGTTTGGCCCTTGCTGTGCAAATAGGAGACCTGGATGGAATTCCAGTCTCTGCTGGCTTTGGCCTGGCCCAGCACTGGCTGTTGCAGCCATTTCAGGAATAAACCATCAGAGGGAAGATTTCTGTCTCACTCCCCCCCCTCCCCCGGTAACAGTGCCTTTCAAATAAATAAGATAAATCTTTAAACAAACAAAAAAGCTCTTTGATTCTGGGCAAGTCGTTTTCCCCTTTCTGGGTTTCAGATTGTTTCATTTAAAGGGAAAATATGAGACTAATGCAGTGTATACCTTATAAACCTTATGGAAATTTCGTAAGGTTCCAATAAAATAGCATGAAGAAACATGTGCTGGCCAGTGTGACGTGTGAATGGGAAGCCCGAGGAGGGTGACTGAGGGTTCAGGTGACTGATGGATACAGCTGTCATGGGGCTCTTTTGGACTTCCAGGTAGACCTGCATTTCATGAAGAAGATCCCCACGGGGGCAGAGGCTTCGAATGTTCTGGTTGGGGAGGTGGACACCTTGGACCACCCCATCGTGGCCTTCGTGAGGCTGTCCCCAGCCGTGCTTCTCTCAGGCCTGACGGAAGTGCCCATCCCAACGAGGTGACGACAAAGATGAAACTACTTACAGGAACAAGTGGAACAGACAAGCTGATGCCAGAATTTAGTATTCATGATAGTAGGAATGGTTTTTGATTTTCCCAGCAATCTGGAAAAAACTGGAATGTGTTTGATTAATTGCCATGCAGAGGAATTCTAGGACTCGGGGGCTGTGAGTGCACGGCACCTGTAGCTTGGGCACGGAGAATTACTGCAGAGTACTAACATGGCAAAGGCCAACCATGTGCCTTGCTCAGAAGCCCTGGTCTTGCTGACCCAGTTGCAGATCTCCAACCAAGGCAGAGGTGTCCCCCCTCACAGTTCTGGTGGGATCTGTGCTTTGCAAATATGCCTGCGTTGGTCCCCAAGACTGGCCCTGCACACTGAAGCAGGGGACGCTGGTGACTCAGGGCCCACTGGTGAAAGACACAATGTCAGTTCCTCTACAAGGCTTCCTTGCTGTTAGAAAAATGGGAAACAGATAACCCTGACTCTACGCGATAAGGCCAGCGGGAAGGAAGGAAAGAGAAAGTGAGATTTCTTACTGGTTCACTCCCTGAAGTAGCTGTGACTTCCAGGCTTAGCCCAGGTCGAAGGCAACGGCCCAGAACTCTGTTCAGGTCTCCCATTCATGAATGATACCATACAGATAGCTACCAGTGCCCGAAATAGAGGTGTTAGGTTGAGGCAATTCACAGTGTACCATCATTCGTATGTCTCCTTTCTGTTAGACAGGAAAGAAGAATTTACACTGTTTAGACAGGATTATTCTGTTTGCTCACCCTAATCTCCCTCCTTTTGTGTTTTGCCAGGTTTTTGTTCATCTTGCTGGGCCCAGTAGGGAAAGGTCAGCAGTACCATGAGATTGGCAGGTCCATGGCCACCATCATGACCGATGAGGTACATGCCCTTCGTTCATCTTGTAAATGTTGATTGAGTGAGTGAGGCCCTGTGATAGTTTCATGGCGATTGCAATGCCTGCTGGGTGGCAAGTGGCCGGGGCGCTTCTCTGAGAGCCTCCTGTGGCAGACTGAGTCTGCTGGGGGAGTTTGTCATCAAGAATGCAGAAAAATCGTTTTGTCTGGGAAAATTATCATTGCGACGTGTGATCTCTGCAGAGTTACGTTAAGGCTGACCTAACTTTCTAGATAGGATGGTTAACTAACTGTATCCAAGCAATTTGCTTAAGAAACTTGACTTCCATCCCAAATGAATAACCAGTCTGCATGGTGCCACGTGGGGTCGTTTGGATGCCCTGGTGGTCTGTGCTGAGGCCACGCCAGTGTTTTGTGTTGACTTGCAGTAGGGTTCTCCACGGGTGTGCCTCAGTCAGTATAATGTTGTGTGAACTGTGTGTCACCAGTTCTTTTCCACTAGAGAGCTTATCTCCTTACTCATTAGCAAGTTCATCTAGTTTTATCAACCATTAAGATCAAGACATTTTTCCACGTTTTTCCTTTTTTTTTTTTTACTTCTTTGTGTAGATTATAGAACTGTACAACTTTAGTATCATGTCTTAACTCTGTCTTTTGAAAAATATTTATTTTTTTTAAAAGATTTATTTATTTTGGGCCTGGTGCGGTGGCGCAAGTGGTTAAGGTCCTCACCTTGCATGCCCGGGATCCCATATGGGCACTGGTTCTATCCCGGCAGCCCCGCTTCCCTTCCAGCTCCCTGCCTGTGGCCCGGGAAAGCAGTCGAGGACGGCCCAAAGCTTTGGGACCCTGCACCTGCGTGGGAGACCCAGAAGAGGCTCCTGGCTTCGGATCGGCATAGCATCGGCCGTTGCGCTCACTTGGGGAGTGAATCATCGGACGGAAGATCTTCCTCTCTGTCTCTCCTCTCTGTATATCCGCCTTTCCAATAAAACATAATAAAAATTTTAAAAAAAGATTTATTTATTTTTATTAGAAAGTCAGGTGTACAGAGAGAAAGAGAGACAGAGAGGAAGATCTTCCATCCACTGGTTCACTCCCCAAGTGGTCGTAATGGCTGGAGCTGAGCTGATCCGAAGCCAGGAACCAGGAACCCCATCCAGGTCTTTCACACGGGTGCAGGGTACCAAGGCTCTGAGCTGTGCTCGGCTGCTTTCCCAGGCCGCAAGTAGGGAGCTAGATAGGCAACAGGTCCTCTAGGAGATAAACCTGCGCCGATATGGGGTCCCGGCACATACAAGGCAAGGAATTTAGCCGTTAGGCTTCTGTGCTGGCCAAGATTTATTTATCTTAGTTAAAAGTCAGAATTACTGAGAGAGAGAGAGAGCGAGAGAAAATCCCTTGTTCACTTTCTCAAATTTTCCACAACTACTGGAACTGCAGCAGGGCCGGTCTGAAACGGGGAGCCAGGAGCTTCCTAAGGGTCTCTCACATGGGCCCTCCTTTGCTGCTTTCCCAGGCCACCAGTGGAAACTGGATAGGAAGTGGGACAGCTGAGACAAGAATTGATGTCCATATGGGGTACTGGCACCATAGGTCGTGCCTCAGCCTGCCACAGCACTATCCTGGCCGTTCCCATATTCACTTTTAAAGTTCTTTTATCCTGGAATTTCTCTAACATTTTCTTCCTCTTACATCCCCATGGCAGAGTTAAAAATTCATCACCATATCCATTGATGAGAGTTTTAAGCAAGATTGCTTTGAGCTTCCTAAGGGTCTTTTCTTTCCCCTAGATCTTTCATGATGTGGCGTATAAGGCGAAAGAGCGAGATGATTTACTGGCAGGCATTGATGAGTTCCTAGACCAGGTGACGGTCCTTCCGCCAGGAGAGTGGGACCCATCCATTAGAATCGAGCCACCCAAAAATGTCCCTTCCCAGGTAACGTGTGCGTGTTACCAGTAGTGGCTGGTAGTGCTTATTGAGCGCCTCTGTAGACAGAAGATGGTGTTGGGTGTGTGCTGAATAAGCCAAAATGGCTTTTCAGGGCACCTGTGACATCAGAACAGTTTAAAAAAAAAAAAAGAAGAAGAAGAAGCTACAGGAACAGAGATTGGCTCAGGTGTGACAGGGCAAGACAGGACTGCTGGAGATGAATTTGAAGCCACAAATTGAAGGATTGATATGGAATGAAGGCAGGCAGGTGAGAACATCTGACGTAGTGTGTCTAGTCCGAAGCCAGCTGGAGGGAAGGGCAACTTGTAAAGAAAGAGCGTGTGGAGTTCCCATGTGCTTTATGACACTTGGCAGGTGGATAGAAGACTCAGGTCACACACTGCAGGTGTCTGCACGAAGCCTTCCCAGCAACATCTGCCTCCCCCCCCACATACTGCTATCTGTTTTGGACACTTGACCCACATCATCCCCCAGGGCTGTGTGTTCGATGAGGTGGAGTGAGGACCACACAGAAGCTAATCTACAGCTGAAATAGGTCATTGCAAATGCCCCCATTTTTCTGTTTCTGCACCAAATACGGAAGGCAGCTGCTGTTGAAGAGCAAGATAAATTAGCCCTCCCCCCAAGGAAAGTCCATAAACTGTATCACATTTGAAAGCGGCAGGCAGTTTTGGTTGCTTTGGGTCACTTCTTCTGCGCTCCTCTCTGATGCTACTAACTTTATGGTCCTCTGTTAAAAGGAGAAAAGGAAAATGCCTGGGGTTCCAAATGGAAACGTTTGCCACATAGAGCCTGAACCGCATGGGGGTCACAGCGGGCCGGAGCTGCAGCGCACTGGGCGGTAAGTTTGCCATGATGTCACTTACTGCCCACAAGTTGCACAAAGGAACACGGCATCTTTGCAGCCTTCTCTCTACTTGGTGATTTTTTTTTCAAGTGAAACTTATGACTGTGCATATATTATACCTATGTCAGACACTGTATTCATGCATCGGAGTTTCTCAGACCAGCAGCATTTTCTGCCTCACTTCCAGTTCTTCCCGCATCCTCTGCTCCGATGTGAACCCTGTTCGCTTTACTCGTGTTCTGACTCCTGATAGCATCCTGTGACTCAGCCTAGGTGGCACTTCCTTTGGGAAGCTGTCTATGACCCTGTTGATGGAGTCAGGCATCTCCACTGGCTGGTCCCAACGCTGAGCGCTGACCCGTCTTGCCCATGACTGCCCCGATCCTAGGTTATTATTGTCATTGTCTTTCCTGGTAGCCTGTTTGCTGCCATGGGCAGGGCCTGCGACCTACTCCTGGCACCTGGCACAGTAGCACGGGCAGAGCAGGTACTCACCATCTGACACATGAATGGGTACTTTTGAAGCAATGCCATTCCGTAGCCTAGACTGGACTAAGTGTATGTAAATGTTGGGTGATCATTTCAGATTGGGAAGATAGGAACATTTTAGATGTGTGTGTCTCTCTGAATGAATAGGCAGCCTGTTCTTTTAGGCCAAGATATTGTTTTAAGGTTTTTTTATTTTTATTTGAAATACCAAAGAGAGAAATACACACACATGTAGAGAGACAGAGACAGAGAGAGGTCTTCTATCCACTGGTTCACTTCCCAAATGGCTGTAACACGCAGAGCTGAGTCAGTCTGAAGCCAGGAACCAAGAAATTCTTCTGGGTCTTCCACATGGGTACAGGGTCCCAAGGACTTGAGCTATCCTCTACTGCTTTCCCAGGCCATCAGTAGGGAGTTATATGGGGACATAGAGCAGCTGGGACTAAAACTGGTACCCATAGGGAATACCAGTACTGCAGGTGGAGGATTAGCTTGCTACGCCACTTCACCAGCCTCAATAGGGCAGGGTTTTAAGGACAATTATCCAAGGAAGAGGCTCTCTGTGGAAGGGGAGGGAAGCAAGCCCCAGACTAGAAGGTTTTGTTCCCAGGAAAGAAGGTGGTCAAGGCATGTAATATGTTGGGCTGGCATGACCTTCCAAGGTGTGGGGCACCGTGGGAGAAGGTAGGGACTGTGGCTGTGGCTCTGTGAGTGGGCTGCCACAGCAGGACCTGCAGGACACGGCTGAGACCATGCAAACAGTGTCACTGTCTCTACTGGCTTGCTTCCGCCTGCCTTTTTTCCTCCTCCCTCAGCACTCTGCCTAGTGGAAACTCAGGGTTGCCTTGGAATTGTGGGCAGCAGCCCTTTATTTTCCCCTAGTCTTGGGAATTCCAGAAGCCAGGAGAGGAGACTGAGACCTAGGAAGTGTGGTACATCACTAGCAGGGTACTGATGGGAATATATGTTCTGGTTGGAGGAATATATTGGAGAATAGAGGCAGAGAACTGTTCCCTGGGTGGGAAGATTGATGGAAAGAAGGCCACATGATGAAAGGGGTCTTGGGGAAAAAGCGAACAACCTTCAGGGGTGAGTGAGGCCTTTTCTTCAAAGTTGGGAGAGGTGTGGATTTGTTGGGGAAGCCTGCTACTGAGAGCAAGTCAAGGGCAACATCTGCCCTTGGATGGATTCCAGGCAGGAGTTCACGTTTACTTTGGCATGGACTGGTAATCCTCCAGACACACCCAGGATTTCATATGTTTCAGAGCAGTGCAATCGGGCCCAGTGTGATGGCTCAGTTGGCTAATCTGCTCGCAAGTGCCAGGATCCCACATGGGCACCAGTTTGTGTCTCAGCTGTTCCACTTGCCATCCAGCTCCCTGTTGTGTAGGACGGCCCAAAGCCGTGGGACTTTGCACCCATGCGGGAGACCCAGAAGAAGCTCCTGGCTCTGAATCAGCTCAGTTTCGGCCATTGTGGGTTCACTTGAGGAGTGAACCAGCGGATGGAAGATCTTTCTCTAAGCCTCTCCTTCTCTGTAAATCTGCCTTTCCAATAAAAAGAAATAAATCTTAAAAAAGAAAAAAGTAATGGAGTTGAGGGAAAGAGGGTATCTCCCAAACAGAAGCCCGTGCAGAGGTGGACTTTGAGGGTCACAGGCCTTGAGGGAGCTCGTTTTTGCCCGATTACACAGGAGGGTTGAGAAGGCAAGTAGGCTGGTTCCCAGCGGCTGCTGGGCCTAAAAAATAGTGCCTGGTGTCCCAAGACCACCCACAAACCCTAAGTACCTTGCCTCACAAAGTCAGAAAGGGTTTGAAGCAGTTCTGCCGTAATGTCATGTCAGAAACTTCTGGAATTGACGAAGATGACAGGATAGGTTGGATCCTCTTCTTGAGCTCCTGGCGTTTGCTCTGAGTGCCTAGTAAAGGACCTCAAGATGTCTGCCTCCCCTTGTAGCTCCTTGGACCTGGTTACCCACTGCCTGTGTCAGGGATCACAGCTCCAGGCCAGCTCAGGAGCCTTTTGCAGCCTGCCATGTGAACCTTCCTTCCCTGTAGATGGGTGTCCTAGAACTTTCTGGACCTTCCTAAAATACATTAGCCTGGGCTTTGCAAATATTCAGACCTTAGTTGTTATCTCTTTGAGATGCAGAACCTACTGTATACATATCATGTTGTATGACCTTGGGCAAAACTTGAGTCTCAGAGCCTTGGTGAGGTACAGCTCCTGTGGTCTGGGTCAGACCCTGCAGGCAGTTCCTCTACCTGAGCTGGAATACAGGACAGGCATACTCTAATGCAGGTCTCAAGGCTGGTTTCAGCTGTCTCCTCTAAGCCCAGAACCAGACTGCCGCTAAATGCTGCTAAGCTGAGAAAAAGTGAATGCCAACTGCACCTGCCACCACCAGAGGCCAGGAGTGTGATAGAAATGTAAGACAGTGGCTCCCTGTGTCCCTGGACACCGTGGTACCTGGCTAGGGAACAGGGGCGTGGCTACTGGGAGGAAGCCCACTGCCTGAGCCTCCTCGCCCGATGCACACATCCCAGGCCACCTCACACTCCTCCAGCCTCCTGACTTCTTCTTTGGGTCACTTCTGGCTTCAACATATATTTAAAAAAAATATATTAGTATAATGAATTCAGCAATCCATTAACTGTTGCCAACATTTTTGCCAAGCTTGTTTCATCTGTTTTTTTTTTTCTACTCGTATTATTATTTTTTTCTAGGTTGTTTTAAGCCAAATCATCAATACTGTAACCATTCACATTGAACTCTGACTGGTTAATATCATATACATACACAGATGAATTCTTTTTATGCTTGGGATAATCATTAAGATTTCCTCCAAGTCACACTTTTGGTTGCAAATAGAATGCTTGTTGGCTCAAGAGAGCTCTCCTGTACTTGGTGACAAATGAAAGCCAAAGCATTTCTTCATTGCATAGCACACTTTAAATGCTTTTATGAAGAGGGACTGCACTCTGCCGTGTCTCCACAGGCTGTTTGGGGGCTTGGTGCTGGACATCAAACGCAAAGCCCCCTGGTACTGGAGCGACTACCGGGATGCGCTCAGCCTGCAGTGTCTGGCCTCCTTCCTCTTCCTGTATTGTGCCTGCATGTCACCAGTCATCACCTTTGGGGGTCTGCTCGGAGAAGCCACCGAGGGACGCATAGTAAGAGCTTTGAGTCACTCTTAATGGTTTCCAACAAGGCTATTTAAAATATGGGGGTGGCAGCCATGCCCTTAGAAGAGCTGGGAGTGGACTGCCCTGGGCTTGCACTGAGATCGTGTTTTCATTCCTAAAGTTGCTGTGGCCTTCTGACCTCCTACCAAACAGCAACACACTCCTTTTCATAGAACCAACTCTTCCCAGGATGATCATTTTCGCTGGCTGCCCGGTGAAGTGGCCGTGGCCCCAAGGATAGCAGAGGGATCTAGTGCTACTATTTGAAAATAAGATTTAAAGTAACTGTGCATGATAAGTTGTAGTGTAGACAGGATCCTTGTCCTTGCCGTATATTTTGGAAATTCTCAATGGAGTCACTGCAGAACAGTGGTAAGGAATTCAATGCAGATGGGTTTGGGCACTTGAATGATTAAAGAGGAATGATTAAAGAGTGTTACGTGGCGTATGCTCATCCCTCTTGCTAAGACAAAATGCAGGCGAATCACTGCCAAGGTACACGTGAGAGCTAAGGCAGGAGCCCACAGAAGCCAGCGCTCTTTGCTGATGGGCCGTGGACTCATTGGTGGCTTTTGTCTCCCTCCCAGAGTGCAATTGAATCCTTGTTCGGAGCCTCCATGACCGGGATCGCCTATTCCTTGTTTGCGGGACAGGCCCTCACCATCCTGGGGAGTACCGGACCAGTGCTTGTGTTTGAAAAGATTTTGTTCAAGTTCTGCAAGTAAGACCTTTGCTTCTGTGAAGAGTCTAACTGGATGTGGTTGTTGATGTGGAATGCCCGGGTTCAAGGCGGGAGTGAGCAGGCAGGCAGTGCTTGGAATCATCCTGCCTCCCAATATCTGAAACATTTCTAAAATAACAAGTTAAAGAACTTGAGCAATGTCACCAGCCGCTACTGAAGTCTTGACTTTAAAATTTTAAAAAAAATTTTTCCCTAGCCAATTCAAACTCCTCCATTTCCATTGGTGAAGAAGTATTCTATTATTTGAAAGATGTATTTAGAGAGGGAAGTATAGATAAAAAAGGAGAGGTTTTACATCTGCTGGTTCACTCCCTAAATGGCCCTAATGACCGGGTCTGGCCCAGGCAGAAGCTGGGCACCAGTGGCTTCATCCAGGCCTCCTGTGTGGGTACAGGGCCCAAGCACCTGGGCCATCTTCCATTGCTTTTCCGGGCACATTATTACGAAGCTGGATTGGAAGTGGAGTAGCCAGGATTTGAACCAGCATCAGTGAGGGATGCTGGCACTGCAGTAAGTGGCTTAACCTGCTGAACCGCAATGTCAACTTTTAAGTCCGATTTTTATTTAGAAAAAAAAAAGATTTATTTATTTATTTTGAAAGAGTTACACACACACAGAGGGAGGGAGGGCTACAGATCCTTTCTGTGTTCATCTAGTTCCCTGATAGCCACAGCTGTCAGCGCTGGGCCAGGCTGAAACTAGGAGCCAGGAGCTTCATCTGGATCCCCCATGTGGGGTGGTAGGATCCAAGTTCTTGGGCTGTCTTTTCTGCTCTCCCAGGCCTTCAGTGGGGAGCTGGACCAAAAGTGGAGCAATGGGGCTCAAACCAGGGCTCCCATGGGATGCCAATATCACAGGGAGCAAGCTTTATTTACTATGCCACTGTGCAGACACCGTACCTCTTCATATTCTGGTTGCTAACGATAATGGGAGTTCAGCGATGTCCTAAATTGACATTTTTTTTGGTATAATTTTTTAAACTAGAAGTAGGAGCACATGGAACTCGGTTTATCCCCTTTGCCTTACTGCAGGAATGACACCTTAATTATATTTGATGTGAATGGCAGCAGTGCTGTATGCGAGACGGTGCTTGCTGTGGCAGACAGCACTCATGGAGCACTCATCTTCATCATGGCTGTCCCAGGGGCATCAGCTAGGAGGGAGTGCAGCCAGACCTGGGGATAGCCCGAGTTGCGCGGCTACCCTGGACACCGAGAGCTGGATTAGCCACGCTTCCCGGGCAGGCTTCCTGACAGACTCCGGTCTTGTTTCAGAGACTATGCGCTGTCCTACCTCTCCCTGAGAGCCTGCATTGGATTGTGGACCGCCTTCCTGTGTATCGTCCTCGTGGCAACTGATGCCAGCTCTCTTGTCTGCTACATCACCCGCTTCACGGAAGAGGCGTTCGCCTCTCTGATTTGTATCATTTTCATCTATGAAGCAATCGAAAAGCTGATCCACCTGGCCGAGACCTACCCTATCCACATGCACGGCCAGCTGGACCACCTCAGCCTCTATTAGTAAGTATGCTTTCTGCTTTCTCTGGTCATGGGAAGGGCCAAGGGCTTGAATTTCACTGCTGATGTCCTGTGCCCGGCAACTTCTGATAGGGCATCACCCCGGGCCTCTGGGCATCCGGGTTCCTCTGGGGGTGAGCAGACCGAAGGGCCGCCAGGGAACAGCGGTTGGACGTGATGACAGAGTAGTGCTACCCAGCGCTTGTCTTCTGGGTTTAGGCGTTCAAGCCCAAACAGACTGCAAAGGTAGCAGGGAGAATTTGAATTACTCACCAGGATTGCTCTTTGCAAGGACTTGTGAGCCCCTCGACTATGTCCCTGCCCCCAAAAGCACGTATGGGCAACTCTTTAGATGAATAGATCAATCATATCTAAAAAAAAAAAAAAAGATTTACTTTAATTATTGAAAGACAGTTACAGAGAGAGATCTTCCATCTGCTGGTTCACTCCCCAAATAACCAGTCAGGGCTGAGCCAGGCCAGAGCCCAGAGCTGAGAACCCAGGCACTTTGTCATGATCTCCCACCTTGGTGCAGGGGCCCAGGGCTTGGGCCGTCTTCTGTTACTTTCCCAAGCACATTAGCAGGAAACTGGATTGGAAGTGGAACAGCCAGGACTAGAACTGGCATCTCTATGGGATACTGATGGTGCAGTCAGTGGCTCAACTTGCTATGCTACAGGGCCAGCCCCAACTGTGCCTTTCTGAGTCAAAAGTTTCTCCCACTGTATCCTGCACACCTAGAAACATGTATTCTTCACAGATTTTAGCTCCAGAGATTATTCTATTTCAGGATGCAGCACAATGCTGGGTCAGCTGGAAACCCGAAGCAGTCTCTGGCTGGGTTTTCAGCCATGTAGGTGAGTCCAGTCCTGCAGGACATTTCTTGTCTGTGACAGTATTCTCCAACTCCCGATGGGAGATCCTTGTCCCATAGCCCTGTCTGTCCAGCTCTCTCCCTCTGGCCGGCCAGCCCGATGTGAAGGATCTGATTGCAAAGCACAGAGTGTCATCCTGAAACTGCTGCAGAAGAGCGGGTGTGTGGCGAGTGGAGCCATCCGCCCACCAGCCCCGTTCTAGCCCCGATGCGTTTGGTAGCCTTTGAATGTCCCTGGATAGACCCCAAGCATACTCAGATGGGTAACCGCTCTAAGGAAGCAGTGGTTAGGATTCTCTCCAAAGCCTTGTCAGTGTAAGGCGCATCTCATTCGTCGTTAGGCACCTGCTGTGTGTCATGCACTGTTTTATGACCTGGAAATGCAGTGGTGAGCACGACCAAGAATCTCCCCTCATGAGGTTTCTATTCTTGGGGAAAAAGATAGCCAAAGGTGACCAGTCCAGCATGGGGTAGGCCCTAGATCTAGAAACTGTGATTCTCAATGAGACCCATGGTGGTATTTCCTTAGTTGCATTCTGTGCTTAGTTTCTGTGAAGCAGGCATAAAGCCAGAAAGAACCCTTCGATTGTTTAAGTGATTTTATATTACTATATGTGCAATATATGTGATTTTTAATAGATTTTTTTTTCAAAGTAGATTTTAAAAAAGTAAATAAAAGTGCATTAAGGTTCAAAGCAAAATTGAGTAGAATGTCTGGTTTCAGTACATCCCTGCCCTTGCACCCGCACAGCCTCTGCCGTCATAGACCTCCTGCCCCAGCGTGGCGTGTTGGTTATGGGCAGTGTGCCCTGTCACAGTCACTCACAGTCCAAAGCCGATGCTGGAGCTGACACTGGGTGCTGGGCCATCTGTGGGCAATGACAGATGCATACTGTGCTGTCTGCCATCATTGCTCTGAAGGCCTCCGTCATTCTCCTGTTTAACCCTCTGTCTCTCCCCAGTTCCTGACAGATGATGACTTTTTTTTTAAACTGTCCCCATAGTTTTGCATTTTCTGGAGTGTCATATCACTGGAATCACACAGCTAAGTGACCTTTTCAGATTGGCCTTGCCCCTTACTGAAGTATGCGTTTAAGGATCATTCATGGCTTTTCATGGCTTGACAGCTCATTTATTGATTGATTCATTTATTAAGGATTGTTTCTATTGGAAAGGCAGATTTACAGGGAGAAGGATGGAGGAAAAGATCTGTCATCTGGTTCATTTCCCCAAATGTCGGAAACAGCTCAGCAAAGCCAGGAGTGCCGAGTCTCTCTTCCAAGGCTTTGGGCCATTCTCTGCTGCTTTCCCAGCCGTGAGCAGGGAGCTGGAAGGGAAGTGCAGCAGCTGGGACTCAAACCGGTACCCATATGGGATGCCAGTGCTTGTAGCTAGAAAATTAGCCTATTGAGCTGCTGTGGCAGCCCAGTTTATTTTATAAAAAAAGAAAAAAAAAGATTTCTTTCTTTATTTAAAAAGTTGGGTTATGGGAAGAGGGAGACACACAACACACACACACACACAACACACACACACACACAAAGAGAGATTGAGAAAGAGAGAACTTCCATTTTCTGGTTCAATCCCCAAATGACTGCAACAACCAGAGCTGGGCCAGGCCAAAACCAGGAGCCTGGAGCTTTTTCCAGGTCTCTCATGTAAGGTCCAAGGTTCAAGTACTTGGGCTATCTTCCATTGAATTCCCAAGGCATTAACAGGGAGCTGCATCGGAAGCCAGGACACAAACTGGCACCCAGGTGGCATGTTGGCGTTGCAGGTGGTGGCCCATTCTACTGTGCCACATTACCCACCCCAGCTCATTTGTTTTCAGCAGTGAATGATATTCCATTACCTGGTGTACTACAGTTTATTTACTCTTTCATCTATCTAAGGAAATCTTAGCTGCTTCCAATTCTGGAACTGATTTTTAGACCTAAATATAAAGCTTTGTAACTTGCCCAGATTGATTTTTATTTTCTTATCTCCCTCTGTTATTCCAACCTGTCAATATGTTTTTTGAATGTTCATTCCAGCGTTGCATCCTAGAAGGTAAATTTGGTTAATATCATTAAATTCACAGATGAAATAAAGTTGATAATAGTGGCTCTGTGAGTTGACCACACAAAGAGGCAGTTCAGGATTAAAGCATGCCAGGATTGGGAGGCAACATGGTGGTCAGTGAGTCCGGTCTGGTCTAGTCTAGATTTGTATGGAGGAGGAGGATGGGGAGGCGAAGGGAACTGCTGGACACTACAGGCCTGGCTCCGGTATTAGCAGCTGGGAAATGGCCAAGGATACTGCAGTGTCAGGAGGAGCTCCCATCACACCTCCAGCGAATCCCCACTTTGAGCATTCCCACTTTGATGGAGTCTGAAGGGAATGAGATATCCCAGGTTGGAGGAAGTTATGGAGAACTGACTGGGGGTGGCAGGACCTCTTTGCTAGACCGAATGTCACAGCAGGAGCCTGAGAGATGGAAATCCAGCAAGACAACACCTGGGCACATCACAGGCCAAACATGGCTGTCAGCACATTGGGCTGATTCGTTGTCCATCTATCAATGACTAGCAAAAAATTGAGGTGTGGTTGAGTCTACAGGTGAGCCTCAGGTTAGGGGTATAAACTATGCAAAGGAGAAGTGAGGCGGGGATAGACAGTGCCTTGAATCCAGTCAAGGCTAAAAACCTTTAGGTGCAGCCTATCTGGATCTTCCCTTAGAAATCTGCTTCCCCTCCCTCCCCTCAGCTGCAGGTGCGCTCTCCCAGAGAACCCGAGCAATCTCACCCTGCAGTACTGGAAGGACCAGAACATCGTGACGGCGGAAGTCCAGTGGGCTAACCTGACTGTCAGCGTAAGTCTGGGAGGTGCAGGTGCCCGCCCTTTGTGACCATGTGACTCATGGGGGGAAGGAACCCCTATTCTTATTGACTCTTCTTTTCCCTTCCAGAAGTTCTGTTGTACATAAAAGGAAAAGAAAACTCATCATTCCCCAGATGCCCTCAATAGCTGGGGTTAGGCCAGGTTGAAGCTGGGACCTGGCAGCTCTCCCACACAGGTGACAGGAACCCAAGTACCTGAGCTCTTGGTGCTGCCTCCTAGGGTACACACTGCAGCGCACCCTTGCTCTACCCTTGTACTGCTTGCTGCAGCGGGCAAGCAGGGCTGACTTTCCAATCCAGGTGCTCCCATCTGAAAGGCAGACCTCCCAAGCACATCCTAACCAGCATGCGAAACACCTGCCCCTGAGTCCATCCTGACATGTCTTAGGATTGTAAATGGTCCATGCTCCGGGGGCCCCAGGGATGCTGTGGGCCCACGCTCCCAGTGACCATCAGGTGACAGTGAGTGGGGAACTCAGAAGGTGGCAGCTTTTACTCTCTCCCCTCTGCCTCTCGTCACCCAGCATGTTGCTGCTCTCTCTCCAGGAGTGCCACAAGATGCGTGGAGAGTTCGTGGGGTCTGCCTGTGGCCATCACGGCCCCTATGCTCCGGATGTGCTCTTCTGGTCCTGCATTCTCTTCTTCACCACCTTCATCCTCTCGAGCACTTTAAAGACGTTTAAGACGAGCCGCTATTTCCCTACCAGGGTAGGTGGCACACTCAGATGCCCCGATAGTGATAGGATTCTGATTTAAGAGGGAAGCCTGCTTGCACTGTGCGCTGCCTGGGTGCACATAGGCAGGCAGGGAGGCAGCCCACGTTCGCATGAACCCCCTGTGGTGAGGCAGCCCCTTTCATAGATGCACTGTGTGGAATGAGGATACTTCAGAGCTTTTTCTAAAAGATGCCAAGCCTCATTTCTGGAGGCTGTTAAGTTCTACTTCCAGAATTCTGAGACAGTTAGCATGCAGTCACTGGCTCCTGAATATGGGAATATGGTCAACTGAGGTGATTGTCTCGGTTGCGTTAGGAGGCTGCAGAGTCTGTTCCTAGGAATGGCTCCTGTGACCATACTGACCACAGCCGCCAAGCTGCTCCTGCCCTGGTGTGCATGGCCTTGGCCTCGGTAACCTGCTGATGCAAACTGTATTGCTTGTGTTATGAGCAGGACTTTTGCTGGTTGGGGTGAGGCAGGGCTTGAGGCCTAGTTCGGGGTAGCTGGAGGACGCACTGCTTGAAAAGGGAGCCCCGGCTAGGAGGAAGTAGTGGCGTGTCCATGAATAAGGTTTCAGTCAGGCACATTTGCTGAACAAGGTATGTGAATGGGGTATGCCCCATGACGGATGCACATGCGCAGCTGAAATGCATTCCAGCTTTCAGGAAACCCACATGATAGTTAACGAAGAAACACCTTCAATAAGCTCCTTCTTTTTCCTCCCTTGTCTTTTTTTCTTGGCTGAGCAAGTGGTGGCTGAATTGCTCTTGTACTCAGGCCTGGCTTAAGGTTTATGAGAGGAGATGCAAATGGTGAAAAGATGTTATCTGCAGTCAGATGGGTAGGGTAGGAGAGACATGAGAGCATCAGCGGCCGTCTAGACAGCAATCGTAGGTAGTCGCAAAGGCAACTTTGCCATAGAGGTGTATTCTGCTCTGCCTGTTGGAAGGTACAGGCCGTTTGCTAGGTGTTGCATTTTATCCGGGCTGCACTAAACCTTGGAATAGAACAGCCCATCCAGGGCGGGTTAGACATGGAATGCAAATCAACCTACAAAAATGGACATTAAGTACAGTGGAGAAAATCAAGCAGGGAAACAGTTCAGGAATGTTGGGGTGGAGGGTGAGGGCGGTTTCCAGAAGGATCATCCGAGAAGAGCTCGTGAGGACTACGGTGTCTGGATGAAGGAGGTGGGAGGATCTGTCCAAGAGGTTGCCTGGGGAAACAGCTTCTCGGGTAGCAGATAGGTGGCAGTGAGCCTGGCACGTGGAGGCAGTGAACCTGTGTGACTGGAGAGCATCAAGAGCCGGGGGCAGAGACCCCGGTCCGCCTGGACCTCCCGGCCAAGGAGGTCTTTGGGCTTTGGACTCAGCGACAACTCTAACAGGAGTGATGTGTGGCCCTTGCCTTACTGCTCTTCCAGCTGCAGTGGAGGAAACTGTGTTCAACAAAGGTATCACCAAGTTGGGGGGGCTCCTGCAGTTACCCCAGCAAGAGCCATGGTGCCTTCGACATGGGGGAGGTGCTCCTGTTTTCGGTGAGCTACAGGAAGAACTGAAAGGACTCTCAGTGGGGGTTGGACCCTGCTCACGAGGGAACAGTGGAGTTGATGCTGCTGCAGAAGTTCTTGGCTGGCACCATGGACCTCAGCGGGTCCCAGGAAATCCTATTCCAGGTGTGCAGAATGAGGGGCCGCCCCTGAGCCGGTCTGCCCAAAGCAGGAGCCGTCAGGTAGCCGGGTGTGCTTGCTAACACATGGTGCCTGGTTTCAGTCCGCGGGACCGTGTACGCATCCTGAGGATCGGAAGAACTGGTACGATGCTGTTTCTTCTTTCTTGTGCCAGGTGCGCTCCATGGTGAGCGACTTTGCCGTCTTCCTCACTATCTTCACAATGGTGATTGTTGATTTTCTGATCGGAGTCCCATCACCAAAGCTTCAGGTCCCCAGCGTGTTTAAGGTAAACAGACTCCCAGGTGCTGGGCCCCCTCGTGTACCCCCGCAAAACTCGATCCCGAGGTTTTTCTCCAAAGCTTTCGTGTGTCTTTGCTGTCAAAGGGGTTTTGCAGTCACAGGAGTCTGTGCCTTGCTCCTGACACTGCCTTTTAGCAAGGTAAGCTCTCTAGGCTTGGCTGAGTTCCTGCGAGAAAAGTCAGAGCAGAGCAACTAAGGCTGCTTAGTGAGGTTACGGTACTGTTTACGATCACTGACACCACCTACGTTGTTTTTCTTTTACTATGTTATGATTTAAAACTGGGCCAGGCGTTCGTCCTCACGGTTAAGACTCCAGTTAAGATGCTTTTGCCCCACGTCACAGTACCTGGGTTTGAGTCCCAGCTTTGGCTCCTGACTCCAGCTCCCTGGTAACACAGAATCTGGAAGGCGATGGCTCACGTAGTTGAATCCCAGCCATCCCTGGAGGAAACCTGGATTGAATTCCTGCCTCTGGCTTGGCCTTGGCCCAGCCTAGGCTCCTGTTGCTCATCTGGGAAGGGAATCAGTCAATAGGAGCTAGCTTTCTCTCTCTCTCTCCCTTTCCCTGTCTCCGGAAATGGAATGCAAAGGCACCTCATCTGAAGTCCAGAGCCTCTGCCACAGCTATCCTGACGTTACTCGGGCCCCGAGTCATTGTATTTTTTAAAAAATAACTCTATAATCTAGAGTGTTTTTCTGGAGATCTATGTAAGAAGTAGTACAGATGACCAATACGTGGGCCTCAAAATCTGTTTCAGGGATACTGATTAAACAGAAAAGGTGGAACAACCACTGGTCAGTTCCACAGCTCCCCGAAGGGGCTATGGAGTGGAGAGAAAACCCAGATCACTCAGGGACTTAGCAGGATCATACCTCATCAACGCGGTGAGGAGAGACAGGCCGAATAAAAGCAGTCCCCGACCTGGAAACCCCCATGAGTTGATCAGCAGCCTCTTTTCTGATTTGTCTCTCTCTTCTTAGAACAGGCCAGATTCAAAAGTATCTTCTTCCTTATTGTTTGAACATTTTAAATTTCCTTAAGGTAGCTGCTTTTCTGCCAAGTTAGGTATGTGTGGATCAGCAAATAATCACCCTTGTCTCAGAATATGTCATTCTTAAGCCACTTGCTCCCTGATAACTAACTGGGGCTGGCCCCACAGGGGGAATGGGTTTTGTGTAAAAATAGGTCATTTGGAAATGTGAGGTAGCTCTTAGGCTCCCTGATGGGCACTTGAATTTCTGGGGCATCCAGGAAAAACCCCAGCTGTACAAAAGGGAAATGGAAAAACGTCAAAGGAAATGTTGTTCAGGGCTAACTCTACTTCCAGGAAACCAAGAGGGAATTCTCTTCCTTTTCCCCTTCCCTGCTACAATACATGGTCCCCAGGTCCCAAGACCCAATCTAAAGACTGATGCTGTATTACTAGGGGTTCTAATGTCATGCAAAACTAAAGACATGTTTTTATTGGTCTGAGAATATAGCTACCATTTACAACACTGTTTCTTAGGAAACAGATTCTATAAACTTCTGGAATCTAGCCGATTCATAATTCAGAACTGGGTATGACTGAACAGTCTTTGGCCCCTGCAGTCCTTACTATGTCTGGGTCAATTTGGGCCAGTTTGCATCTCTTTTAGTAGAGCTTCTTCCAGGCTGCATACCATTTGCAAAACAGGTGAGGGTATCTCCTCTCGAGTACCGGGGGGAGGGGTGGGAAGGAGCGGGGGCAAGGGGTGCAAGGGGCTTCAGAATCTAGGAGAGCTTAGATGTGTCGTAAACACCCCTACACATGAACGCACAGTGGTCTCACAGGGGCGTTGCAGAGAGTCCTAGGTCAGACAAGTCTCCAGATTGATTCTGGATGCTTCTCAAGTCCCTGGTGTCCGTGCCCCTCTCTCACGTCCAATGGGAGTAGGGCCTCGGGGACAGTTCACTCTGAGCCCAGGAGACTCCACGGAGCTGACTCTGCCCTGCTTTTCTGTGCGCTGCAGACACCCAATGTGTGGTTTCTGAAGACAGCAGTGAGTAGGAGAGTCAGAATTGCTTAGAGCTGTTCTAGGAGTCATTAAAGTGTTGGTGGTTAATAATGCTTTGCTTGGGTTCATGTTGAGATAAAATCGCTCTGTCAGCGCACAGGAGCACGAGAAGTTAGTGGAAGGAAGAGCAGGCTGAATACGTATCCCACACTAAGTTGCTAAGTGTGGACTGTTTCAAAGATTTGGGAAAAGCAGTTGCTGCATGTCATGCATTTTTTTTTCTAGGATTCTTATTCAAGAATAAAAAGAGACAGATACTGTGATTCAGTTGTATTTGTTTTGCCCT